GTTGAGCTATTTCAAGAGCAATGGACAATGAAAATATTACAAGTAAAAATTAGAGTACTGGCTGCCTGGAATAACCATGGGAGCTAGTGGAGCCAGACAGCCAGGCTTCTAATCTATATCTAGAGGCAGCAAGTTCAAGCGCCGCCCACAGGCCACAAGCTGAATTTGTTCTCAGCAACCCCAAGCTCAAATCCTCATGAGTTGTCATACTTGTTAACCCTTTTAGCCCCAATATCCACAAGCATTAATTCTCCAATAAGTGATCTCCATGAGGATGAGATTGAGGGTCATAAAAAGTGTTTGTACTATTAGAGTCAAAACTCCTTTCAGCGTTGGCTGGTCTAAAATACAAGTCACTTTTGCCACAGGTCAGAGTATACAGGTCACCATGATACAGATAAGTGAACAGCATTAAAAGTAGCCCTAATCTCTTAACAAAATGCTATATTAGATCAAGGGGGATCTGTGTGATTTGGTACATTAGACCCAGCATTTTGGCAGTATAGAATTTTGCTTAAAACAAACTAACCATACCAACCACACCTCTCCTCAACAGTATTATAAGCAACCTGTACAGTCATGTAGCTGTGAAAAGACATTTTCTCTATAAGCACTGATAAAGACTAAGTAATGTCCTTGTTAACTGGGCCGGGTGAACAAGCTTAGTTTCAGCCTCGTTCCCAGGGTCCTTTGCCTTCCTCAAAGCAAAAGGATCCAGGGTCCAATGTTGATCTTACTTTATGAAGCTCAAATAAGCTTCCCATTTTTATAGAAGGAAAATTAATAGGCCCCCCACAAGTCTATTAAGGTTCCTCATTATTCATTCAAAATATTTCCCCAATTCTGATTGGCTAAAAGCACACGCATAATTCACCATAACCAGCTACTGATGACCAAATTTGAAAGAATTTTGCAATAAATCAACCAATGACGTTAAAAGTGCAGCTTCCTTGCAGGTTAATGCACTGTTGACAGAGAAGCCCTGGGGATGAGGTTGAGTTGTTTTGGTTGTGAAAACAAAAATGGCGGACATTTCACTTGTTTCAAGATTAAGAACTAGGCAAAATCATAGCTAAAGACATGACAAGAACAACAAGAAGACAACTCGAAGGGCGAAATCTGCTATTTGGAGAATATTTGCAGGGCTGAACAACCCTAAACACGTGCACTATCAAGGATGAACTTAAGATCATGTTTTAGCTATGTTTTTAAACTGGGAATCATTTTGAATGAACAATGAAACAGTAAAACTTATTGAATTCGGCTTTCGTATCACATGAAGGATTATGGAGATCAAAGAGGGTGTTATCCACCTCGGAGATAACACCCTCTTTGATCTCCATAATTCTTTATAACATACTCAGCCTCATTCATTAATTGTTAAGTACCCTTTAATTTATTCTTTATACCAAATTAATAGATGTGATAGCCTTTATTTATTTATCAAGACACCAGACTTCATGTGGACTTATCTGGTATCCTGGAAGTAATTTTTATTTATCTTCTCTCCATTTTACAGGAACCTTTATGATCAGAGCCATAGCTCTAGCAGGGGGCAAGGGGGGACAGCTGCCCCCCTTGGACCTGTTGAGCTAGACACATCAAGTCTGTGGATGGGTTTGTTTTCTTTAGACTCAGTTATTTTAATTATAGTGACTTGCAGTTGTTTGCCATTTTCATATTTGAGGTCGATTTTTCAGGGACATATCTCATGACAAGCGCTGAAAATAGTGTTTCGGAGCCTCCCAATTTGAAAATGTTCCTTCGGCATTCGCGATAATGCCCCCCCGACAAAAAACCTAGCTATGGCCCCGATGATCCTGTAGGATTGTGGACAGAATAATTAAGGGGTCTATTCAGAATCTGGATTAAAGGAAATAAAAACATTTGTGGAATTATGTTAAAGGCAGTTGAAGAATATAAAGTTAATAACGAAACTAAGTCTATAGTCTGCATCTGCCCCAAATTTAAACTTGTCATTGATTTCCTTTCTGGGGTACATTCTTGGAAGGAATGGCAAGATGGCTTAGCATAAAGTTAAAGCCCTTGGAATTTTCATGATCGTGTAACAATTTTCTCTAAGGCTGCTAATTAGAAAGAATGTAACATAATAATAAAAATCAATAGTCTTTTTCATTTCCTTGCTACTCAATGAAAATTCATTATCCCTCAAACTCCTCGCAAAAGATTGCATTCCAAAAAATTTTATTAGTATCTACCGCGTAATGTCGATCATAAATTATGCATTGGGTGTCATGAAAACTAACAGCCTGAAAATCTTAGACCCCTGAAAAAATCAGACCCTCAATTAAATGTTTTCAGATGTTATATTAACTTACTATAGATTGCTAGCAGTCTCTCTCTTTTTTTGGTTATGTTTTGAGATAGAGCGCATGCAACTGACTTGCACTGTAGCAGCTTCTCCCCCCACCCCCGGGCACAAGGGGTAGGGGAGAAGTGCATTGCATGATACTTTTGCATGTCACTATTGTCACAATATAGTTACCATTGAAACAAACAATGTCAGTGCTATGAGAGCTACCATCAAACAAGAGTGATTTAATACATCTGATGTACACAACAAGCCGTCTATTAACCAGCAAACAAATGAGAGAAAAACCTTTTAACATCAACAGCACATGCTATGGCGTGTCCTATCAGTGTCCATAATTAACTGGGCTGTATAATGCTTGTATTCATTCATTCAAGGTCATGGCACAGTAAGATGATTTCCACGACACAGATGTTTTCTAGGTCACTAGAATTTTTTGTACATTATCCAACAAAAAGAAAAACTTGCGGCAGTTTTAAAATGCACAATCATTCCCTGAAGGATGAGGTAGTGTCATTGTCAACCTGAATCACTCTATGATATCATCCCTGATCATGTTGAGGGTATTTGAGGGTCTAAGTTTTCAAGACATCCAGGGTCTGAGTTTTTCGGGGGTCTTTTAAGTTTTCAGTGTCTGAGGTATGAGTTTTTGTGAACCCAAAATCTATTCTTCTAGGACCGTAAATGCTCTATTAAGACCCAACCTCTCAAATAACCCCTGTCCCTCTAATAAGCCCCCCTTTTCAGGGGAAGAAAGTTATTTTGCAACCTAGATCTTTATAGAGAATTGATACGATTGCCTTTTCTGGCCCCCCTCTCAAATTAACCCCCTGTCTCTTTTAAGCTCCCCCTCAAATGGACTTGGGGGTTGGGTGATGAGGGTTGGTTGACATTTGGGGGGGCGGGGATAGTGCAAGAGGTAGAGGCTAAACATTTTAGATCTCCAGAGGTTGGCATCTGTGCTTATACGCAGTTCTAAAATTAAGGATTTTGAGAAAAGAATGTTGTTCTATGATGATCTCCTCTTTGAATTTAGGATCATAGGACAATAGGGGACAAGTAGTTTTGGTAACTGTGATAGCCCCAACTATTTTTTTTGGCCAGGCATAAGAAATTAGTGTACAAACATGAGCTAGCCTGAGATGGGTGCATGAAAAAATTATGGAGACTAGCAGGTAAAAAAGGTATAATGTTGTGACATGCATGTTCTAATAACTTACTTTAGAAGACATAAAGTCTAGGGACAGAAAAGGTTTGCAGAACATTTATTCCAACATTGTATTAGAACCAGTTACAAGTCAAGATTGGCTTGATAAGCATTTTCTTGAAAAAGGTTCCGATGGAAATGAATTATCTTAGCCCTTTGCTGAACTTCGTCATATTTTTGGACACCACTTAGAAATAGCTTGCTGGATGGCAAGCCACCCAAACAAACATCCATTGAGATCACAAATCTTTTGACTGCGAATGCACAAAGTCTTCCTAGGTTAGTTAACAAGGTCTTTTATGTCTTCTAGCCCAGCAACTTAATTTTTACAAAACTTTAATTGTGATCAGAATGAACATTTGGATGGCTTGAAATCCAGTGAAGCATTTTTAAATGGTATCCCAGCAAATGATTAAGTGCTGCAAAGGGCCTATCATTGACCATTACAGGCCATTTAACAAAATTAAAAAAAAAACAATTCTCCACTTTGTACACTCTAAGAATGACATCAAAATGTTCAGAATTCAAGCTAATATTTGTTACCACAGTACACTGCAAACAATGAAACATTGCCTGCATTTACATAGAAAAATGTATTCTCATTTTATTAAGAATAATTATTATTTTACAGCTGCCTCGGATATGACGTGACCTGTGATGCCAAAAACATCTTTGGCATTGGGTTTTAATTTCTGCAACATCAATCAAAATCTGAAGAATCAGTACTTTCACCCCTTTAGGCATCTTAGTGGACCCATTAGGAAACAAGAGGTCATAGTTTGTGATTTGCAAATGGTAGATTTCAATACGTTTTGCGTGTTTCTGTGTTTCAAGGTCTGTTGCTTTTGAACTTCAGGGTTAAGTCGCATGTTTTTGAAAAGTGCAGTGAGTTTTATCTAGTTCAGAGTATTTTTTATCTTCTTTATACTAAAACATTGCAAGTTTGGATTCCCAAGGTGAAATTGTTCCTAAAGAGTTTCCAAATCCAGAAGAACTACAGATATGGGAAGGTGAAAACAAACCTGCATGTTCCTGCCAACATTTACATTTGCAGCTTCTGCTAGCTTATAATTATCGCCGCCTTAATTTTACACAGTGGATGCTATAGTAACAGTTTGATTGACAGTGCAGAAAAAACCCAAAATCTTGAAAAACTACTGAGAGTTTTTTAAGCCATCTTCAAAGATTGAGCTTGTAATATATTGTCAGCTTAATAAATCTTAATCAGCATAAATTTTACAGATGATAAAAGAGGATGGGACAAAATTTTCAACACCAAATATTAATTTTTTGCAAAAAATTATGTGATTAAAATTTCAGCCAAAGTAAATGATGTTTGTAGTGAAATGTCCCCCGAAACGGGCTCCAGCTACATGTACAAGTAACATAAGCTTAGGTAAAGATACAAGTGGTGACTGAATTTGTAACTTGTCTCCTTTAATGACTTTTAGTTACTTTGTGTCACTCTGGTCTCATGTTGTTATCATAGTGTTCCAGAAGAAGTTCCTGACTACTTAATTCCTCTTGACATATCCAACAGCTAAATATGCTTAACTGGCTTGTAACTTCTTTAGAAGATTTCCCTTTAATGTGAATTTGTTCATGTCTCACACTAGTTGATGAGTTGTTAAAGCATATGTTACAATACCTGCACTGATAAGGTTTTTCTCCTGAGTGGGAAATTTCATGCCTCTTACAAGATGATGATTTTTTAAAGCATTTTTCACAATACTTGCATTGATAAGGTTTCACTCCTGTGTGTGTCAGTTCATGCTCCTTGCATGACAGTACTTACACTGATAGGGTTTCTCTCCTGTGTGTGAACATTACAGTCAAACCAGGTCAAGCGTTCCCGTCGCTAACAAACTAATGAATTCATTCACGGAAAAATGATTTTGTTTGTTGATTCAATAATCCATTCATAAAATGAATAATCCAACAGGCAAATTGGACCTCGATTCAATAATCAAATGTTGATTTGGTTTATGAACAAAATCTACCTGTTCTTTATTCTTGTCTGTTGTGTTCAATCGTATTTGCTTCCTTTTTCCTACCGTTTACGATTGCGTTTTTCATTGCCTTTAATCAAAATAACAACTAGAATAGACAGACCGCAAACGCAAAGAAACTATGAGAAACTGACAAAGGCCGAGGATCGAAATCCACCAATCACCGCACATACACTGACCGTAGTTTGACCGTTGTGTTTTCTAAGAGGTCAGGCCTAGGTCTGTTGCACTGATTACTGGCAGCAAACTGGCGTACATGTAACAGTTTGTTGGGGTTTGAACTTCAGAACTCGCCAGCACTCGACTCTCAGAAAAAAAAGAGGAAAAAACAAAATTCTGAGGTCAACTTGTGGAAAGTGTAGTTTTTCAAAAAACAGTAATCGAATCAACATTTGATTATGGAATCGAGGCTGAATATGGACATTGGATTTTTCATTTTATGAATGGATTATTGAATCAACAAACGAAATCATTTTTCCGTGAATGAATTCATTAGTTCGTTAGCGACGGGAACGCTTGACCTGGTTTGCCTGTAATGTTGCTTACAAGTTGATGAATGTGTAAAGCACTTATCACAATACTTGCACTGAAAGGATTTCATGCCTGTATGTGTACGCTCATGTCGCTTGCAATTTGACAATATGCTAAAGCAGTTATTACAGTACTTGCACTGATAAGGTTTCACTCCTGAATGAAAACGCTCATGCTGCTTGCAATATGCTGAATCAGTAAAGTACTTATCACAATACTTGCATTGATAAGGTTTTACTCCTGTGTGTGTCAGTTCATAGTTCTTACAATTTGATTACTGGGCAAAGCACTTATCACAGTACTTACACTGATAAGGTTTCACTCCTGTGTGTGTCTGTTACTGCCAAATATTTTCTGGTTTTTCGTATTTCCTTTCGAACCCTTTTTAGTTTCGTTTGCGTTATTATCTTATAGTATTTGTGGTTTTCGCCGCGGATGTACCTGCTTAGGTATGATTTACAAACAAAGAAATCTATTATCCTTTGTATTAGTTAGTATTGTCGAACGTGATCAAGAAACTTTTTTAGTTCTAGTCAACATGTCATAGTGTTAAGATCAAAGTAAGGCTCAACGTCAACGCTGTGAAATCCCTAAAGCGGACACAGAAGTAAGTCTTTTCACTTTGTGCATGATATGTTACGTTTTATATAGCCTTTTTTGCATCGTATATCCAAAGTTTGTTTTCGTAGTTTTAAGGTAGTTTCTAGTTAATCTAACTATAGTTTTCGCTGTATTTATTTCTTAGTTTTCGAAACCGCTTTGTATATCGTTTTCTTCGTTTACACCGCCTGATCATCGCTTCTCTTCGCATCGCTTCTTTTCAGCGTTGTTAACGTCTCATCGCTTCGCTTCAATAAACTTTGTTTACATCCTTATCGTCGTGAGCATCATTATTGTAGCGAAAGTTCTTAAAGCGCGTCAAGAATTTTCTGTCTTAACGTGGGATTAAACGATCGTCCTGTGAGTAACGTTTTGCGCTCACAGTGTCAGTTCATGCTCCTTGCAATTTGATGACTGGGCAAAGCACTTATCACAGTACTTACACTAATAACGTTTCACTCCTGTGTGTGAAACTTCATGCCACTTACAATTCTCTAGATGTGCAAAGCACTTTTCACAATGCTTGCACTGAGGTTTTAGTCCCGTATGAGTACGTTCAAGTTCCTTGCAAGTTGATCGTTGGGTAAAGCACTTGTCACAATACTCGCACTTATAGGGTTTTACCTGATTGTTGTTAGTGCCATGTTTCAATAAATTAACTGCTGCTCTTGGATTGTCGATTTTTCGTTTTTCCATTGTACTGTTCTCATACGACTTCTTACAACAAGATTCCTATGTTTCTGGGGGTTACGTTATTGATGCATTGTGGTTGCTGTTTTCCTTGTCTCAAATTCTAGGAAAAAGAAAGTTGGAAATGGACTTAGCAAAATCAATCGATCAAAAGTTAAGAAAACGAAAGCTACAGACATGGACAGGTGTACAAATAAAGCACTTTGCTGTATATTAGATGGAGTTCGCACAATTCACACTTTGTCCTTTCCCAGTAATTACTACATTAAAATTAACTTCAAATCAAATTGAATTAACTTTCCCCACTAAAGCTAATGCATTAAAATTTACATTATATCACAAAAAAATTTAATTACTTTAGAAAATAAAACAATAATCCATAATTAAAAAGAGGTCACTTAAACTATTTAGGCATTGTGATTGTTGACAAGTCTTTTTCATAAAAACAAGATTTTCCATAATTTGTCTCTAGAAGGTTTTCCTAAAGATAAGGTACATTATACAATCTCCCTCTTCAAAAATTCAAAAATTGTCACTCTTTCATCTCATATGCAGTAATCTCTTGGAGCAGTACTTATGCATCACATTAAATAAAGTTGACTTCAACAAAAATAATGAAGCCTGTACTTAATGTTTTTTTACTACATGACTATATATGGCAAGGGCAAACACATAGCTTTCCCAAAACTTGATTTCTTGAAGGTAGGAAATATCTTTACAATTTATAACTCCTCATGAAGGTTTCTCATCAGTGGAAAATTAACCAGCTTTCAAGTATTTTCACTCATTACTTGAAATAAAAATTATGTTGAGCAATGTTCATCAGCTCAACACATGGTATGCGACAAATCAATTATAAGTGGCTACTTAATGTAGAACCAGTGTTGGTAAATAAACCAAACCGTCATCTTTCAGCTGTCAGGCAATACTTTAAATAAGCAAACAATATTCAGCAAAGATGGACAAGCATGATACAACAAAAGATGTACAATGAAAAGAAATTTTCATCAGCCACTAAAATTAAAAAGTCCTTAGGTGGCCACTGTTGAAATTGTTACACTGTAACTTTTTCACTTTGAGTTCTAAGTAAAAGAAAAAGAACTTTAATTGAGTGTCAGTATATTTAGCACAAAATTACTAATTGGGGACACGTTTTATGTGGTCATCTGAGCCACACAATGGTCTAGCTGCTTGCAGTGCAAAGGGAGTACCCACATTTCTCAGTTATTTTAAGACCCTGAGTATTGGTCCAGCCCCGGAAATAGAACCCTCAACCTCATGTTTTGCAGTCACATGCTGTACCAGCTGAGCTAACACTGCTGCAGTCAAAGCTAACATTGCCACAGTTGAATGGTGATTAAAACTCAGGTTTTTATTTACAAACTTTCTTCGTACATTTTTGTAGAATGAATAATTTTGGCAGTTGGTATATGCTCTATTTTTGCTGGGAAAATGCTGAGGCTACAAGCATCGCAAGGATTTTTTTCAGAAAACATACTAAGAATGTAAACACATTTGTGATATTATTTAGTTGTGGACACTTACATGTTTGTGGCTTGTGATTCTTTCGACCTTAAGTCTGTCAGCAACATACGCAAGAATTCCACCGCCTTTCTTCGATCCTTGTCGGTCTTTTTTGAAAAACGTGTAGCCAGGTATACGTATTTGTAGAACGCAGCCAGGCTTGTTTGGCTTGAGGAAGGTTTTGATTAGAAAAAGCACATCAATTTCATGTTGATACGCGGTTAGTAGTAACCTTATTTGCTCCAGCTTAGAGTCCGTTAAATTATTTACGTTCCACTGTCCTAGTTTAAGACCATTTCCTGGTAAAGATATCCGAGGGCACAGTTCGTGTTCTGTCTAGCACAAGCACGTGTTGCCGACAGAGGCGGGAAAAGTTTCTCACATCTCATGCTTTCACTATTGAAAACATCTTTTAATTGAAGTTAAAGAGTATTGAGAATTATCTTATTTTCACTCTTTGCTATGTTTGGTATTTAAGGTATTAGAACTGCTATAAAGTCCCAATATGATCATGCTTATAAAATAACTCATTTGAAATGTACTCCTAGCCAGAACTCAAATTCCAAAAATGAAGCATTTTCGTTAAATAGAAGCCGAGAAAATGAAGGCCAAAGTTGGTATCTAAGAGCGCTGTTTTGGAAATATTAATGATCACAGGGCTGAAATCCGACTCGATACTCTCCGTTGTTGATAGAAATGTTGCAATTTTCACAACCCGGCATGTGATAACGCGTTATGAGTTTTAAATAAGCTAGGGCAAATTATGGCAAAATTCTCTTACATTCTGCTTCCCAAAACAAAGTATGATTAATTTGATATTTCTAAATCATTTCTATGGCTGTAAAAAGCCTTCTATAGACAGATTAGATATATGATCCTTGCAAAGTCAATGACAGATAAAGCCATAGTTAAATGACCTATTATGCAAATTAGCACGCTGCTAAGGCTAAAACATTGTTTATGGCACCATATTGAGAACACGTCATGTAAGATTTTTGCATTTTCTCACCACTTTCCGTGCTACAATCAGGTCAGTGTCACAACAAACATTAAGGACAGCAGTTTGCTTGTGAGAATTCAAGATAGTGAAAAAGAAAACAGTGTAGCGTGACGAAAATTAATGGTCAATTAAGGACAATTTTGCGGCTGTGTTGGACCGCACTGAAAACAAATTGATGTAAAAATATAAGGATTTATAACACCGCAGTGAAACTTTGCAGGTTTATTCACATAATGTTATGGAAAAGGATTAAATTTCCAGCAATTGCGGGAATATTTTGGAATTTTAGCGGTGGCCTGAAGTTATAGGGCATTACAAAAAAATTCCACCTCTACCTCTCAGGAAAAATTTACTGGCTACTGCTGGGAATTTAAAGGTAAATGAACAATCTAATTATGAGTCAGTTCGATTTTTTTTTTATTCCTAGATATCGAGAGAAAGCCAGAAATATGGAATTATTGAATTTGTGAGCCTGGGATATAAATCAGAAGATACATGTACACCTTAGGTGTGAAAACTGACACCTCGGATATCAGTTTTTCTGAAAGCTCAGTCCTCGCTTGATAGGTCTCAATAATTTTTATTTTACAAAATCCTTTATTTTTTTAAGTAAAATTTTTTCAAATGAAATCATTTGTAGGAGATCTTATACCTTAATAAGAAAGAGCCACATGTCACAAATCTAGGAGTGTGTAATAAGGTTAGAAGTCAATCATAATTTAACAATGTGCTTGCTAATAAAAAATGTTTTGAAACCATGTAGAGGTATGAAGTGTTTTTTGTTCTCTGAACCAGCTATGAAAAATACAATTTGCTATCAGACAGTAGAAAAAGCCATCTCGGCAGGGTTTAAAACGCAAACTTTGCAGGCTCATTTTCAAGCACTTTCTGGGAAAGGGCTTCGCTCTTTCAAAATATTCTCCTGTTACTTGACACTATCCTCCTGCTACTGCAATTCTTAATGAAACCCCTGCAATCTTGCCTCACTGAAATTTGTTTTCCTCTTAATAGGACGATACATGTCAATCAGTCCGTGATGGTCTATATATATTTTGCTGATAACTGTCAATTGATTAATTATATTTGTTGATACATGCTGTAACTGTTGATTGATTAGTTATTATTGTTTGTCAATAAAAGTCAATAATCACAATGATCTTAGGACAGGTAATCACAATTTCGATAAACTTCTGAGACTTTGCTGAAAATACCTGTTGAGGATTTACGTGAACTTTGTACAAATGCCACATAAAGAGAAGGATTTGAACATCATAATTCTTCAAACGCATATAAATGCTACTCAGGTACAAATATTGAAAAAGCTCAAGTAGACTTTCAAAAAAGTCGTTCGTCTGATTTAATAGCATTTGAAAAACCTTTCAAAGCATTAGACAAAGTCATTTGAATTTTGCATCTGAGGGGAAAGGGAGCTTAAAGGGACAGTGTCCCGATTATGCGCACGCGCGAGCGTCATCTGTTTTTTCTTCAAAAGACAATAGAACTGTCATATTGACTCGACAAGATTTCCTTCCGGACCGCACCGCCGACAGAGATTTGTTGTTTATATTCTCAAGTAAAAATTTTAGACTTTCAAAGAAGTCTTTCGTCTTATATAAAAATTTGGCTCGCGGTTCGAAGACTTATTGCGATTTTATCGCTAGCTGGGCTGCCTCGCGACCTGAAAATCTCGTTCCGCTCGCTTTAAAAACATATTTTCTAATTTGAAACTCGTGTCAGAGGTCAGTTGTTCCAAGTCTAGTAATATCTGCCTGATTTGCTCGCGTTCTAGCCTCAAACGTTTGAAAGACATAAATAAAAATGCAATCTCAACGCTATGAATCATCAGAAAGGTTAGTCAAAAATTATATTATGATTTCATGGCACTAGTTTTTCTAAACATGTAGCGCCTGTTTGTTTGATTTTGTTGGCCGTTAGGGAGATTCATTTAAAAAAGTTTACTAACGCGTCGTTGCAAAACATTCTGCTTCACGAAGCTCCCCTCCACAAGATCTCCTCAGTCACATCAATGTCTCAATGGTTTCTTTCTTACAGTCTTTATTGTTGCCGTTTCATTTCTGCGTATTCCTTTCACAATTATCTGAGCTTGTATGGAAGCTAGCAGAAGAAATAAGCCTTCAATCGGCATCAAAGTGCTTCCAATCTTTTGGTCCTCTGGCCTACGGCAATAAAAGTAACGCCAAAAAATCCAGATTTTGCCCAAATCGAAACTTAACAGGAACAGTGTATCATTGATCTGTAATCCTGAGAAGTTTTAGTGTCGTATTGAACCCGGTCAAGCGCGATGCAAACGGATTTTTCAAGGTTCTCTTACTCTCCTCGCATCTTTTGATTTCGCGACATCCTGTCCAAAAATCAAAGTTTGGTGCATGCGCAGTAACGGGATACTGTTCCTTTAAAAGACACAGGGAGCTAATTGACTTTCCTCCCAGCAAAAGGTGGAGGGGCTTATTAGAGAGAGGGGGACTTAAAAGAGGATTTATGGTAATACCATATGAATAGAAAATACAGTTCAGTATACAGATCCCCAATACAAATTGCCAGTACCTAAAATCATGGAAGAAAGTTGAAAATTTTTCTTGGAGTTAATCCCAATTTTTTTGCTCACTGAAAACTCGACAAGTTAATTGAAGTTTAACTCATTAATCAATTTCCCTGTCTCAAATTCTCCCAGCACCGTCTCGTATTTATTTTAGGCGAGGAAAACACAGGAAGAGTTTTCACTTGTAACCAGACGAGTTCTGAACTGCACAGGAAAAGGCATAGTCAAATAAACAATTGTAATTTCAGTGAATGCTGGAGGAATCATAACCTTGGTTTTCCCAGGCTTCACCAAGTCATCATATCATTTTGTCAGGTACAGGAATCATAACCCTGGTTTTTAAAGGCTTTATGAAATCAATTGGTTCTGCTACTTAGATTTCACGATAATTTCATTGCATCTTACTTCCGCGGTCTGCAGTTCCGCAGATCAACCCTTGAAAGTTTCTGGTAGGATATATCGTGATTAATACAGGGCAAATTTTCTAGGTATATTCGTTGGGGTGGCTCGGTGGCTCGGTAGTCCCGACTAACGAGCCATCGACTGAAGAGCCACCGAGCCGCCGAGGCACTAAAATATATACCTATAATCTGCTATAATGCATACTAAAGTATATGCCTTCTATGTCTGTCTTATACTTATATGCCTTATATCTTTCTCGTTCTTTAAACACTTGTCGTGACTAGCGAGCCACCGAGCCACTTCTGTTAAAGACCTGAAAATATGGCCCTGTATTCTGTAGTTGCTCTCGTGATTCAACATGTTTTTTTTAACCAATGTGCATTGAAAGTATAAAGTATGGCAGTTTATAAATAACGTCTCTGCAATATGTGCTTACCTCTTCTGTATTGTGATGAAACTCATCTGTACGCTTTTCATCCAAGAACAATTTGAGTTTTTCTCAAATCCACATTATTTATTTTCTATTTTCCACCATTTTGAGCCTAGTTGGAGCCCAGGTTCCGAACGTAAAACGTTGAATGGTTACCAAGCTTTTGGAAAAGTGATCCCAGAATTCACCTCGTGTTTGTTGTTTGAGAAAGACTGAGGACCAGTAATCAAAATGGCGTCGACTAAATGCCACTGAAGGTGGGAGGTGTGTTTGTGTGACTTTTGTCTTTGGCTGCTCCTGGTTATAGTCGCTTCAGCAGGTTTTTCGAAGTTCTCTGAAAAGGTAGGAACCTCTCCATTAATAATCTAAGTAAGTGCAATGAAATTATCTTGAAATGCAAGTAGCAGAACCAGTTTGATTCAGAACCCAACTAGTTACAAGTGAAAAAGTTTCCTGTTTTGCTCAGGCTATAATAAGCACAAAAGGGTGCTGGGAGAGTTTGAGACGGTTATGTAAACCCTTGAGACAAGGAAATTGCTTAATGAGTTAAACTTCAATTCACTTGTCGAGTATTCAGTGAGCGAAAAAATTGGGATTAACTCCCAAAAACATTTTCAACTTTCTTCTGTGGTTTTAGGTACTGGCAATAGGCCGTTATACAGTTACGGGTGGAAGCGCGGCTGGAGTTGACCTTGTTTTTATAAACATTTTCCTGCTTTATAATGTAAATCAAGTTATTCTTATGCCTTCTTATGCTAACTAGTATTTTTTAAGGACAATTTCCATAACAAAGCATAGGAGGTTTGTATCAAAACAAGGTCACCGTCAGCCTCAAGTTCACTTGTAGGCTAGGGTACTAAGTCCACAACTGTAAAATTGTCTGTATGTGCCGGGGATCTGTACACTGAATTGTATTTTCTATTCATACGGTGTTACCAAAAATCCTCTTTTAAGCCCCCCGCCAAATAAGCCCCCTCTCTCAAATAAGCCAACTCCCTTTTCAGGGAAAGGAAGTCAATAAGCCCCCTGTCTTTCATTATTATTCTTCACTGGTAAATGAGAGACTGTATTAATCAGTCACTGATCCTGGACATTTTTTTCACCAACTGGAAGTTTGGATTTATTTTTGATTCTTGGCTGCCCTACAACTTCTTGAACTCAAGCTTTTGTACTTTGTGTTATAATTCCTTATGAAGAACTGACACCATTGTTTTTGCCAAATTAAATAAGCCCCCGTCTCCATTAGCACCCCCCTAAAATGTGTTTGAAATAATTAAGCCCCTGGGGAGCTTAACGGAGGATTTATTTAATCTCTTCCTGAAATTTCTATGAAATTTCTTAGTCTCGTGAAATTTTTGCTCAGCAAATGTTTGTGAATGAATGAAAACTTTATTTAAGTGTCTATGTTTTTAGCTATTAGCTAATGGGGGACACTGTAAAATGCTCTTTAAATAATATTAAGCCCCCGGGGGACTTAATAGTGGATTAATTTTATGGTAAGTCTTGACTTCCTGAAATTTCTATGAAACTTCTTAGTCTAATGAAATTTCTGCTCAACAAATGTTTGTGAATGAATGAATGAAAACTTTATTTAAGTGTCTATGTTTTTAGCTATAAGCTAATGGGGGACACTGTGAAATAATTAATTAAATACCAGATTCAAATCACTAAAAAACTAAAAAATTGCGTGTAGATTATATAATAATTATTGATTATATTATTAGTTTCAAAATTTGTTAAAAGGCCTAAAAACATCTACATATTTACAAGGGTTGAAAGGTCGACTTTCATTATGTTCCTCTTAAACGAGTTCAGAGTTTCTATCATTCTTTTTCTTAAGTGTCTTGGCAACTTCGACCAAATGAGAGGTCCCATATATTTTACTGAATTCCTACCAAATCTTACAGTTTTGAATCTTGGTAGTTTGAAGTCACTATTCTGTAAGTTGTACTGAGTATTCTTTAAATTAAATAAGTCAGAAATATTCACAGTGAGACTGTACAAGACTGTGCTTAACTTTAAACATCAATGTAACAATGTCCTGTAGACACCTATTGTACAGCGTCGTTAGTTTGGCACAGTCTAGCAGTTCTTGATAGGATGCGATTCTGGTTTTGTACACTGCTCTTAGCGCTCGCTCCTGAATCCACGCGAGCTTTCTCCGAACTGATGCATTGCAAAAGTGCCAGACTAGATGGCAGCAGGTTAGATGGGGCAGAATTGAAGACTTGTAAAGTGATACTTTAGCATTACAAGGTATCAAGTTGCATAGCCACACTAGGACTCCTACTTTTTGACTGGGAAAATTTTTTTTTTATCAATTTGAACTCCTAAAAGCTTTATTTCCTCCATTCTCTCAATAGCATGTCCATCTACAGAAACATTTTGATTATCACTGTCTGTGTCAACATTTCTCAGGTTATTGTAAGTAGCTGAAACTTTTCTGGGTTGGCTGAGAGATAGTTGTTCTTGTACCAGGATAGAACTTGGTCACCTTGGGTCTTGATACTTTGTGCGACTACATTGTGCTTCTTCCCCATGACATACATCTGATGGTCTTCGGTGTACATACTTTGATTGGCATAATTTATATGGAATGACATGTCATTTTGGAACAAGTGGACGGAAAGACAATCCCTGTGGACAGCCAAGTACCATCCTTTTCCAGTCGCTTGTCACATCTTTTATTTTCACTCTATTAAGCCTATTATTGAAGTAAAAAAGTGAAAGTGCAAGTCTTTTCAGTTTTTAAGGAAAAAAGTTGAGTGGCAATTTTTTAGCATGATGTTTAATACCTTTGATAATAAATTTATTTTGATTGTTGATTAAAATCAATCATTGTCGTTAAATGTGACTTCCTCCAGGAAAACATTCACTAACACTAATGGCTAATGAATGGCATGTTAACCATCTTTAAAGGGTTTCTAAGGTTTGATTCATGTTTTGAATGGGTTAGTGAAAATTTGTAACGGCTTTGGAAAGTCCTAGAACAGATTGCTATAATTTTTGGAATGGTTTACTTAAGAGGTTAACTAAACTACATTTAATTTACTGCTTGCGTGATCAAAGTTTTAAAGAATTGTTGTTTGCTTTTTTTGCTGCAATAAATTTTCCTTATTTCTTCATCAGACATGTGTTATATATTTATATATATATTTTTAATATATTTATTGATAATCACGTTAAATAATTACATTAATTTACAATACTACAAAAAAACACTTTAACAATAGACATTACCAGAGTAAAGGAAAATTAATTTGTTAAATTATTACAGGGCTAAAAGAAATTATTATAAAAAAGTACAACAGGGCAATGAAATAATACAGAGTTAATACAGTTAACTCAAATAAGGCATCAGTATCCACTTTCTTTTAAAGAATTCTTTGTTGCTGATTTTTTCTTCTGTTTCATATTTAGCAATGATCTTGGCTCTAAAACCGTGAATGTTTGGAGGGATTTGTTTGCTCCTACAGTCCTACGAATAGAGTTTTCCAATAATTATAAAATAGTTCAGCAATTGAAGTAAAGGGCAATCATTTTCCATCAAAATTCCAAAGAGCACATTTTCCAAGCAGAGACGAATTCGTTGATTCAAAATAAGGCACCAATATAGTTCAAATTCAATCCAAAACTGTTTAGAGCGTGAGCAGTGATAGAACAAATGGGTTAATGATTCGGGTTGATTGTCACAGAAAGTACATAAATCATTTGTTCTATAACCTATTTTGTACAACTTTGTATTTGTGTAAAGAATTGAGTTAATTACTTTGTACTGGAAGGCTTTAACATAAGATTCGACAACGATAGAGTGTGGCAGCTTAAATATTTGCTTCAGATTGTCTCTGTTAAAATGAAAGTTACTCTGCAATTTTTGAATAGTATTGGGCTGTTTAGCTTTTTCTCTGAAGAGTAGGTTGTAGTAATCCTACATGTGTTATATTTGAAATGGTTACAGAAATTTCCTTTCAATCTTAAGGTGATGAACACTACAAACTCCTTGCAGGTGAACACTTCAGAGGTAGGTTGCACCCTCTTGGGGCTTATGGTAATTTTTGTAGCTTTTTGGGGAAAGATTTTTGTCTTCTTTTGTATTAACCCATTCGCCCCTGAACCGCCCGTAACCGCCCGTGCGGATCCAGGTCCTTTCTACCCATTGTGACGTCATCAGTTTTAATGGTCAAGGACAACTTTCTTCGTTAACTTGTGCAGACTGAAGAGATCTTTCAAACCATACCAGAATGAGCACAATTCAGTCAAGGACACCGGAGAAACAAGCAAAAAACCACGTGACATTGACCTGAAAATCTCCATGAAAATCGTGTTCCATTACCCATCTACCTTTCCTTTCACCTAATCCTAAGATCCTAAAAGTTTTCCTAAAAACTCTTCCCACCAAAATGAAGCCTACTAAATGCCCAGCAAGAGAAAAAAAAAAATAAGGCAAGAAAAGCGAAAAAGAAGGGAGGAGAGAAAGCGAAAAGTAAAAGTCAAGACTGCTGTGTCACTTTTAAACCCAAAAACTATCTCGAAATTTTGCTTTCTGCGCATGCCCGAACTTCGCAAGCTGATATTTTGCATCTGGATCAGACGGCCGCGAAGTGTTCGACCTGTAAACCAGTTTGTGGTAAGTTTTAGCTCTTTATAGAACGGCAGTGACCAGAAAACCACTCGACTAGCTTCAAAACGCGTTTTTCGGCAAAATCTCCAGGAGCGAATGGGTTAAAGTTCTTGAGGGTAAACCACAAAAATACAACATTTTTACTTCTTTTTGTGGATTAGGTGTTTTGTGGCACAGCAACTTCCTGGATTACTTCTTGCATGTGCACTATTTTGGGCTGTACTGTACCATGGCCGTACTTTGATGCTTTGAAGACTTTGGATGCAAAATTCAAATGACTTTTTCTAATTCCTTGAATGAATTTTTGAATGCTCTTAAATTGGACATTGTAACTTTTGTTTGAACGGTTATAATAATCATTATTTTGTAGGGCGTCTGGAAAAACCGGAAACCGGAATCCGGAATAGGAACGGGAATGGGAACAAGAACTGGAACCGGAACCGGAAACAGCAACGGAACAGAAACAGCAATGTGAAGGGGAACCGATACAAGAACAGGGATATCATTTACTTTAAATTATTTTAATTCGAATTCAATTTATACAAAAAATAAGAACACTACTCTGGTATCATGCTCCCCCCCGAATCTCTTTATAATACGGCAGCAAGGAGGTAGAAAAAGCCGCAAGTTAAATAAGTAAAGCAACAGCTTTGCGAGTGCATCGTATCGCGCTTTCTGTCAAATTCTTCACCGCGTATGCACAACTATGATGTAAATGATCAAATCTTAAGTTCTCTTAAGAACGTGAACGACAGGCAATAAATTTTATTGTGTCTTTCTGAGCTCGGACGCGGTCTCCAGCTTCATTTCCCAACCTTTAAAAGACCGGGCAATTTGGAATTAATGAGAAATAGTTTGAATTAAGACCCGGATTCAGTTTCTCAGTGGCGTTTTCGCTGGCGTTGCCGTCGTCAGATCTTAAGGTTCCTTTTGTCTCTCACAGGAAGGTGGTTATCACATGTTAATATTATTTGTCAGACCATGTGTATACGAGACACCCATCGGAGACGTTTATTGGGCTGCCATACACCTCAGGGTTGCTCCATAGATATATTGTATGGTGCTAAATTGGGAAGTTAACCAGAGATAGATAGTCCACAGCTTAAAAAGGGTATTAACATGTACTTCCTCCCCCCCCCCCAAAACCCATCTCAGCGGCCAGTACTTCATCTACCTCAACCGCGTGCAATAGGGACCTTAATAAGCAAGCAGAACGTTGACGTCCAGGACATTAAAAATGGAAACTGGAAGTGGATGTTTTCTGTCTTTAGGTGCTCTGACTCAACAAATTCGCACACTGGAAGGCAAGAGGAAGAATTCAGATTCGTTGTGTGAGACAGAAGCGTTCCATCAAGCGACGGTCAGCGTTCTCGTTGCTTAAGTTCGCTATTATGTTTGACACGAAAACACAATGTGTCATAGGCTAAAGATAAAGAAAGGTTAATTAGATTAACATTTCAAGGGTGTTTTCTTGTTTCTTTAATTATTTCTCTGGCTTTTTATTTATATCACGATTATATCTTTTTCTTTTTATATTCTATACACTGTTTATATTTCCGTTCCTATTCCGGTTCCTATTCTATTTTTCCCTTATTCTTCGTATATAATCTGAACAGGAATTAAATCCAGATTAACTTAAATTAAGGTAAATGTTGTCCCTGCTTTTATATAGGTTTCTCCTCCCATTCCGGTTCCTATTCCGGTTCCGGTTCCTGTTCCTGTTCCTATTCCCGTTCCTATTCCGGATTCCGGATTCCCGCTTTTCCAGACGCCCTATTTTGTATATGAGTAGCATCCATGTGCATTTGAAGAATAGCAGAGGCTATGTGTACGGTGTTCGCTTACACCGTACAGTGCACCGAATACTAAATAGCAAGTGCACTAGTGCACTGAAACAGTGCACTTCAGTTCACCATTTCATACAACACATTTTTGACATGTTGGGAAAGGACAAAGTGTGAATTGTGCAAACTGCATCTAATATACAGCAAAATGCTTTATTTGTTGATTTCATTTTGTTAACTTATGATCCTCTATTGATTTTGCTAAGTCCATTTCCAACTTTTCTTTCCCTAGAATTTGAGACAAGAAAAACAGCAACCATTGTACATCAATAACGTAACCCCCAGAAACATAAGAATCTTATCGTAAGAAGTCATATGGGAACAGTACAATGGAAAAACGAAAAATCAACGAACCAAAGCGAGCAGTTAATTTATTGGAACATGGCACTAACAACAATCAGGTGGATCCATGTAAGTGCAAGTATTGTGACAAGTACTTTACCCGACCATCAACTTGCAAGGAAGATGAACATACTCATACAGGACTCAAATCTTACCAGTGCAAGTATTGTGACAAGTGCTTTACCCGACAATCAACTTGCAAGGAACATGAACATACTCATACAGGACTCAAACCTTATCAATGCAAGTATTGTGACAAGTGCTTTACCCGACCATCAACTTGCAAGGAACATGAACATACTCATACAGGACTCATGATCAAACCTTATCAGTGCAAGCATTGTGAAAAGTGCTTTACGCGACCATCAACTTGCAAGGAACATGAACATACTCATACAGGACTCAAACCTTATCAGTGCAAGCATTGTGAAAAGTGTTTTGCACATCTAGGGAATTGTAAGCAGCATGAAGTTTCACACACAGGAGTGAAACCTTATCACTGCAGGTATTGTGATAAATGCTTTACCGTGAAACAATCTTGCAAGCGACACGAACTTGCACACACAGGAGTGAAACCTTACCAGTGCAAGTATTGTGATAAATGTTTTAATCAATCATCATATTGCAAGCAGCATGAACGCACACACACAGGAGTGAAGCCTTATCAATGCAAGTATTGTGATAAGTGCTTTGCCTACTCATCAAATTGTAAGGAGCATGAACTGATACACACAGGAGTGAAACGTTATCAATGCAAGCATTGTGAAAAATGCTTTATAAAATCATCATCTTGTAAGAGGCATGAAATTTCCCACACAGGAGAAAAACCATATCAGTGCAGGTATTGTAACAAGTGCTTTAACATCTCATCAAATTGTGTGAGACATGAACAAATTCACATTGTGTGATTCCAGAAAATGTCCATACCCCTTCCCTGGATGGTTCTTCCGATTAGACCCCCCCACCTCCTCGGAATTTCCATTCCAGAGGGGTCATGTATAACCCCCCACCCCCCAGGAATTTCCTATTTTCCTTTTCATGGCTTTTATTTGCCGCATTTAGAGATTATTGACCGTGTACCGCTTAAAATTAACTGTTCTCTTCTTAAGACACAGTTTTTTATAATCTTTGACCTATTTGTAATCTTTTACAAGGCAATAATTATGTATTTCTTACGCAGGTAGAGCACGCTTGATAATGACAGTCTCTCTTTTTTATTAGTCCATCCAGCGAAATGTGCAAGGCACAAAAAAAACAGATTAATATGTTTATGTCATCTCAAGAAAACATTAATTTACAGCATAACTTCAAATTTGAACTATTCATTGACATAAAACTATGTGAACATTTTCGAATTTCAAAACGAATCTACTAAAAAACTAACTTACAAACAAAGTTTAGTGTTAGTGTAAATGTTCGGCCTCGGGTCCTAAAGTCACCACAAAGTCGATGTTTGTAATTAATTTTAACTTTGAAGGAATTACGCTTGCAGTTAAACAAATTTCAGGAATTACAAAAAACTTACTTGGGTTGTAAAAGAACAAACTATGCAAACATTCATTTTGTGTCCTATATTTGCATTGATTCGTGTTCAGAAATGAACATCGGTCAAACATGATCTATTTTGTCGCCTAGCACGTGATCAAAAGTCTCCTTGACGAAGAAGAAACATATCGTTAATATTTTCAGGCAAAAGTTGATTTGGCGAGAAGTCTGTTCAACAAACAGCTTGCCTTCAACAGTACTTTATTAGAAGTCAATAATAAAATACAGCAAAGCTCTCATTTGGGTCGTCACACAACGCTTTGTCGCGATGAGCTCTCTGAATGTCAACAGAAAGTTGTTTACACCAAGCTCGAGAAATATAGTGCCGAGATAGACGACTTTTGCTCTCAATTGCCTGAAGGATGATATTTATTTAAAGACTTCATCAAAGTCAAATGTTGGACGGACCGACGGTTACATCTTTAAGTTTTTTCTCGAAAGGACATCTTTTTCTGATTTTTGTTGTGCTACAAATCAAAATAATCCACATGTACTTAAGTATGTCTCGTACGATCGATCGCGTCTGTTACAACCCTGTGGAAAATGTTTCTCGTGGGCACCCCCCATACCCCGCAGAAATTTCTACCCTTTAGCCCCCCCACCCCTTAGGAATTTCCATTCACCATCCGTGGGGGTATGGATATTTTCTGGAATCACACATTAAAGGGAAATCTTCTAAAGAAGTTACAAGCCAGTTAAGCATATTTAGCTGTTGGATATGTCAAGAGGAATTAAGTAGTCAGGAGCTTCTTCTGGAACACTATGATAACTACATGAGACCAGGGTGACACAAGGTAACTAAAAGTCATTAAAGGAGACACGTTACAAATATCAGTTACCACTTGTATCTTTACCTAAGCTTATATTACTTGTACACTGTATGTTAGCTGAAGCCTGTTTTGGTGGACATTTTACTGCAAGTATCATTTACTTTGGCTGAAATTTTAATCACATAATTTTTTACAAAAAAATAATATTTGGTGTTGAAAATTTTGTACCATGCTGCTTTATCATCTGTAAAATTTATGCTGATTATGATTTATTAAGCTGACAATAATTACAAGCTCAACCTTTGAAGATGACTTAAAGAACTCTCAGTAGTTCTTCAAAATTTTGGTTTTTTTCTGCACTGTGAATCAAACTGTTACTATAGCATCCACTGTGTAAAATGAAGATGTCAATAATTGTAAGCGAGCAGAAGCTGCAAATGTAACTGTTGGCAGGACCGTGCCAGTTTGTTTTCACCCCCCTCCCCCATTTTTCTACGTAAATGCAGGCAATGTTTCCTTGTTGGTCGTGTACTGTGGTAACAAATATTAGCCTGAATTCTGAAAATTTTGATGTCACTTCTGTTATCTTAGAGTGTACAAAGTGGAGAATTGTTTTTTTTTAATTTTGTTTAATTGCCTGTGATGGTCAATGATAGGCCCTTTGCAGCACTTAATCATTTGCTGGGATACCATTTAGCAATGCCTCACTGGATTTCAAGCCATCCAAATGTTCATTCTGATCACAAAGCTTTGAGTGCAATTGAGCAAAGCATTCCC